GGGGGAGGATTTAAAAGGGATCACGCGCTTTTATGAGCGGTATTAAGAACGATGGCGTTAAAACGCCATCCCGCGCGCGAAGCTTTACTGTCCGCGTACGTGCGCGCACGGACTAATTTTACACTAATTTCGGCGAGCCGTTCCTTTAGTGCCGGATAAAGGATAACCGTAATCCACGCGAGCGCACGCTCGCTTATATGGTAGAACTTTAGTGAGGCTTGCTAGAAAGAACCGTGCGCAATTATACCTCTCGAAGACGCGTCAACGCCGTCAAATTTATTCCATTTCTAAAGCCTTGTGTCCACGATTCAACAACTGTATCCAAGTTCTAGTCCCGAGAAATGCGTGGCCAATCATCTTGCAGCTGTTCCAGGAAAGCTACAAGTTGATTGACTACACATTTCTCGAGACTAGAATTTGGACCAAGTTCTAGTCTAGCATCGTGGACACAGGCCTCAAAGCCTTGTGTTCAAGTTCTAGTTCCGACAAATGTGTAGCTACTCAACTTGCAGCTTTACCGTAAAAGATGCGAGTTGATTGGCTTAACACATTTCTCGGTACTAGAACTTGGACACAGTTTTTGGATCGTGGACACAAGGCTCAATGCAGGATAAAGGGGACTGACAAATGCATAAAAGCATTAACTTGAAGCCTGAACCAGTTCTCAGTCTCACACACCTACGCGTAAAAATTGTATGCTATTGTACGCAAAAAGAAATACTAAAGAATTGTTGGGAACAGCTTTTACGTGAATACCGATTGTCATGCGATTGTTACTCGCAATTTAACGTCCCAACGATACATTTTTCATAGACATTAAAATATCAATGAAATACGAGAACTGCGATGCGCGGACGATGTGGTGCACTTTATGTGTTTACAGAATATCAAACAGCTCGCTGCAGCCCACGTACGTCGGAGGAGAGAGAACGCCATTCTCCGCGCGCGCAGATACGGATCTGTGATCGTTAAGACGGGCGAGAGGATGAATCATAAACTCACCGATCGCGATGGCTTCTGCGGCCGTTATCGGCGATAAGCCGGGGATTCCCGCGCGCACGCATTGTGTAACGCGCGCGCGAAACGTTGGTGCGCGCTCGTGCGCGGAATGCATCTCTCATCTCGGAATAATAACAATGCCCCGCGGGCCGCGAAGTCAATGTGGAGCAGCTGGGATCCACGTAATGAAAGTATGATTGATGATCCGACCGACGCGCATCATTAGCTCGATACGGAGGAGCGAACCGAGAAGGATATGCATGCCTGCAGTCTCGACAAGTCGTGCATGGCCGTCGTCGTCGTCGTCGTCTCAAGACGCATTCTGAATTAACGTGACTCCGTCCTAATACGATCCCCCTCGTAAGGCGTAAGAAAAGTTACGGCGCGATTCGAGAGCACGTGTGGACAGACAGCGGTGTGCTCGTGGGATTTCTGCGTAATTAATGGACGGAAGAAAGAACGAGGAGTTTGACAAGTCAAAAAAAGGAAATGTTTTAATGTTTTATGCCAAGTACACGTCTGTTATATCATCGTACACGTATGTTTCTTCCGAATAGATATGCATTTTTATTGAACGAGCGTGCGCTGGTGAAACTTGAATGTCGTTTGCAATACTCGACGTTATTGAATTAAGAGGCTTCGATAGGAATCCGGGGCCGATAAGATGAAATTATTCGCGAGTGTTTTGACCGATGGTGTAAAACGTAATCGTTCAAAGGAGGAATAACAATTTCAGCATCGCTACCGACAGATCATGGGGGACTAGAAGCATTTGAAAGATACATTTATCTCACTTCCGTTGGAACAAAATCTGCCCTGGGGCCTAATGCTTCGGCTATTAAGCTTTAATGGACTGCTGATCGTCGATGGAGAGCAGGATGGAAGTAGGCGGGGTGGGATACGGGCCGAGAGTCTCTGAGGAATTGGAAAAATGGTTGGAACCGCGAACTTGGTGGACCTTCGTGACATCCCACCTCCCCCTCGCCATTTCCAGCCATGAAAATATCCCGCGCGTCATTCTCTGGCCGCAATAATCGAGCGGGACGTGAGGCAGAGCGGCAGGACGCCCTCGCGCAGCTCCATCGATTTCAATCGCGCGCAAAAGGCGTGCTCTTTCTAGTGAAACTGGTTTGCCAGTCTGGAGAGCAGGCGAGAAAACGGAGGCGACGGTACCAGGCGCGGCGGGCGGAAGGGCTGGAAAGGTCGTGGATTGCCTGTTTGCGGCACGATGGAACTGTGATCAGGATTGACTCGGGATGATAATCTGGCGTACACGGGTTTCCACTTTACCCGATGCGAACGACGACGCTCAGGTCGCCGGGCTCTGGCTCTCCTCGTCCCTCGATACCCGCGAGCCTCTCCCCCCGTCATTTCCCTCGCGAATATCCCTTTAGCTATCGCACGAATTCGCTCGGTGACACGTATGCGCCGCAATTATCAATGTCGTTGGCTCAATACAAAGAGAACGCGTTACTCGGCAGCACGGATAGATGTCGGTCTATTATTGCCGCGCAATAAAAGGTATACAACGAAAGAGCTAAACGAAGCTTCTGAAATTTGGGGGATTGAAGGAAATTTTTAATCGTCCGCAAAAAATCTCGTGGAGCAATTGGCGTAGACAGTTCAAGTGGGTCTTACAACATTGACGACCCGCTCTCACGAATTTGAATGAGATCTGGAGGACATAAAGACGTTTATGGTGCTCACAGAGAAGATTCCCATAAAGACACTCGAACGTTCAGTGCACTTTGATGCACGATACGCTTTCTATCCAGCGTACAAAAATACGGAAGCAGGCTGCGGGCCATCATTTGCAGAAGTCCGCGAGAAGCGTGTGCGTCAACCCGAAAGAGAGAGAGAGAGAGAGAGAGAGAGGGGGGGGAGAGCGAAAAAGAGAATGATTCCTCGCTATCCCAGGGAGCGCGTTTCGTGGATATGGTACGTTTGGATAGTGGATGGCGGATAAAGCGCCCCTAAAGCCCAGTTTCGACAGAGCAAACAACCCGTAACTCAGTGAGTGTTTATGAGGGGGCCAGTCGTAAAAATACGAGGCGAATCGGACTTGCTCTCTCTCTTTCTCTCCATGTTTCGACCGTTTAGTCGATTCACCCTCGCCGAACTTTTCCTCGGGCGGTCCTTTCCGCGTCGCGGGACAAAGACGTGGCCACGGATAAAAACGTAAGAAAAAGACGGGCCGCGAGAGGCCACGGCCGATAGAGCGAGAAGAGTTTCTACCGTGGCAACGGGAGCATGTTCCCCGATCGTAAAACTCGGTCTGATCACCGCTACCAATTATCCCACCGTTATCCGAGTGTTATCCGAACGTTATCCGGAACGTTATCCACCTTTGCCCACCCGGTACTCCACGGAAGAACCCTCTCACCATCATCCGAATCACTACCGATCCCTTGAACCCTAACCGAGAGAGAACGAGAGAAAGAGAGAGAGAGAATGATTCTACCCTAAACACGAAGGCCCGTTGTTGTCGCCTTTTACTGCAAACGAAGTGATTCTCTCCTCGTAAACGCGTCGTCTTTACAGATTATTCGACAAAGGAATATCTTTTCCTGATATCAAACTTTCAATCCTCTCGTATTGATTTCTCTTGAGTGATATTAAGATTATTACCACACATAAAAAAGCATTTTTATTTTGTAAGTGCTCGACGTCGATTGATGAATTAACAAATATTTAAAAATCTTTTTCTAAAAACGATTTCCATGTAGCGTTCACAGACAAAAGTTTACCCGAATACATTGATTATTTAGTACAAAAAAATTTGAATTTAAAATGTTTAGTTTTCATTTTGCACGTTAAAAGTTTTATTAAAGAATTGACAGTTACGCAATTGTACAAGTCTGTTATCCATTCGCGTGAAGTGAGATCTCGTAATAATACTTTCTAAATCACGAAACGGAATGATTGTCGGACATGATATTAATCAGGCACGCAAGAGAGAAGTGAAATTCAAATTTCCATCGTGAGCGTGGAACGACCGATAATCGAATCACGAAGTGATTTGATTTCCGAGAGAAACGACGGATATTGCGGATATACAAATATATACGATACTACAGGTTTCATTTGATTCGATGTTTCGTTTAATAAAAACTAATACCAAGAATACAGTGCGCAGACCACGCTGCAAAGACCGAACGTCTTTGACATCAGATGTTAAAGATGTTATATGTGTCTATTGCAGTGAATTGTCAGTTATAATTAGACTACAAAAGTTTCAAAAATACTGATCTCGCTATCTGTGTAAACAGGAAATGATTCCAAACCTTACAGAAGTTAGAGCGGTAATAGATACTTCTTGAAAAATCAAAATTTAAGTAACGAATTTTTCCCGATTCCTGCCAAATTCAATACCAACCATTCTTTAGTGATCCCCCTCTCTCTCTCTTTCTCTTTTCTACATAAAAAATTTAGTCCGATATCTCACTCTTTATACAGAATTTACAGGAGTGCGTGCAACCACAGATACTTTTAACATACATACCGATATTTTTTTTATGCAATTTTTCGACGTTCTGGAAAATTCTGAACACATTGACAATGCAAATTAAAAAACAAAACTTTTTACAAAAACAAAGTTTCCTCCGCGAGGAAGCAATTATCTCTCTATTACTGTATGTTTTGTATTATATTAATTACAAAAGTGACGGGACCAATTGAAGTAATAATAAATAAATTTATTTTATATGTAATAAAAATAAAATAATTTTGGTTGAAAGTTAAAACTTTATTATATTCAAGAATTTAATAACATTGAATGATCTTAAAATGCATAAAAAATCTTATCAACATCTTAAAAGAACAAAGTTTATCTCATTTAAACGATATGAACTATTTTAATTAATAAGAATCAGTAAAGTTATGTTGAGAATTAAAGTATTCGTGAGGCATAATAGGTGGCACAATATTATACGTGTCTGTATCTATAGTGTTGTAGTATGTGTAAATGTCTAATTGTAAGTCCTGAAATGGATGCATCTTACCAGCTCTATTACTCTGGTCGATCATCGGTTGAACGATTCTACGTCTCGCGTTTATGAACCTGAAACACACAAACGAAACGAATCACGTTAGTAAGATAATATTCATAATCCAAGATTATTTTTCAGTACAGCAAATTTAATAATTCTACATATAAAGAATACAGAACTCTTTCTTTATTCCGTACAACGAATAAAGAATTGATGGTTTCATTTCCATAAGTTTGTCTTGCGGCTTTACAGCTTTTCGTCTCCTCCGCATTTTACATGCGGTACACGCGATATAAGAGAGGGAGATTGTCTTGACGCGATTCGCTGTCTTTGTAACAATCAAGAAAAAGCGAACGGCAACTGGCTCGGGAGATGAGCGAGCGAAAGCGGAAAAATCCGGTAAAGAGGAAGAAAATCCTCGATACGTCATTAGCCGCGTTGAAGAAGCTTCCATGTGAGCGCTTTCCGAACAATAGATCTGCGGTCTGTTCTGATGTTGGTCGAAGTCCAAGAGGGTGGTAGAGGTTCAATACAGTGTGAGATAGGAACAACCGGGGAGGCACGGCGATAGAGTGAGCGAGACGCCAAGAGGAAGGGCGTACGTCAGCCGACGTCAGCGTCGCGGCGCCCTAATGGGCGCAGACGCCGGAAGTGATTGGGTTTCTGCTCGACTGACTCGAGCACACCCCCTTCCCGTCGTGGAATACTCCAGTTCCCTGCCAGAGGGGATGAGGAGGACATAAGCAAGCCCCGAAGAAGCGATGGCACCCCCTCTTGTTTTGCAGCACATCTTTCTTGCTTAGTCTCACGCCTGGCCGATCTCCCACAGGAGAATCTTATGAATAATAATTATTAAACTCTCATCGCGTCTCGCTCCCGCTACTGGATGCACGTGGCCCGTTGTCGCAGTTAAGACGCACACAGTGCCTATAAGTCATTCGACAAGTCGCCGTGAGTCAAAGGAGCTTCGTTCGACCGAGTGAGTAGTAAACGACTTCAGAAACGATTAGCGTACGCGCGCACGAAGGCGTAGAGATGGCCATGAATTTTGATAATATCATCAATCGCCCATCTAAACGTGTTTCAAGTGTCTCTGTATTATACCTATCGGTCGCAACATCGTTAATTCTATAACGTTATATACACTGATCCAACTAGCAAATTATAAATGTTCTAATAAAAGGAGAAAAATTGCACAAACTATTTTAACAATATATAAATCTTTCTCTGCGAGAGAAAGTTGTGTATAAAGAAGAAGCAAAATGTATGGCAAGTAATTTATCACTTATTTATTCAGCCAAGAGCCGCGTAAAGAAAGAAACCATTCTCTCTAATGTGACAAGATTCTGAAGCAATAATACGCGCCCGCGAAATAAAGCTTTGCGATGGACATGCGAATGCAACGCGACAATAATTACATGTAATCGCTTCAAAGTCAAATCCTCGACTATCACACGAAAGAGTATCGCTGCGCGAGTACGAAACCAAGGGCCCCTCTTTAGCCCCCGGATACTCCTAAGCGTCTCTGGTTCCTCTTTGGCGAGGAGGTAGGCAGCGTGTCACAGCCAGCTGACTACCGCTAACCACCCCCGCCCTTCCACTCTAGCAGCCACCGTCGCTGCTGAAATATCGCCCGAACAATGGCGCACAATCCTCTAACCGAAACGAGAAAGAGAAAGATAGAGAAGAAGGGACGTGCGAAGAGAGGGACGAAAACGGCGAGCGACTGCCCAAACTCTCTTCCAAGAGTTCGGTCGCTCTACTGAAAATCAACCGGGAAACTTAAGCCCGCCACGTTGCAGAGACACGACAAAATTTTACGATCGATATAATGTATCGTTGTTTGTTTTTTACGTTCGTAGACAAAATCGTGCGGTAAAACTGGAGAGTTTAGATCAATAATTATAACGGAACACATAACTTTATCGCTTGTTAATAAATTGCTCGGTGGAGAAGTAGTAAAACTTTAGAAATTGAAATTATAAATGTGCATATACGTGAGACTCGAGGCTGACATATTTATCAATATATTTATCAGAAGCGTATGAACGTCGATGAAACAATCGTCACTTAATCGATTGCAAATCAGAAAACCTCTTACGACAACGAGAGGGTTCCAAAACGAGGTGAACATATTGTTGTCGAGGTGATTGCCGAGTCACTCTAAATGACAAAACATTTTTCGTCGCGCCCTCGCCTGGGCTTTCAGGATTTTAATGCAGTTTTGATTACGAGTTCGAGGGGAAGCCCTCTTCACTGTGCGTCGTGAAACGGACCTGCGGCTGGGAAAGCTCGAATATACGTTTGAATATATGGAGGGACGGAGAGTAAGCCGAATTGCTTCATCATCGAATTTTAACTTTGCACGAGGAGATATCGTTGAAATCGTTTATCTCGAAATAGAAACTAGAAGTGAGGGATATTTGCCTCCACTCGCGATACAAAAATAAGATATTTCGTTCTTTATAAATTCTAATACAAAACGTTCCGGTACCGTTTTTCATCGACTGAAATGAGAAACCATTAACAACTGGCAAAGTGAATCCAGCGCCGAGCGGGCGAATTGAATGAGCGCCTCGGAAATCGCTGGTGAATTACAAGCGGAATTTCGAAGAGCTAGCGCGCGAGAATTATTGACAAATCGCTGACGTTCGGAATTTACCTCGGTATCGCTGTTACTTTTTGTGAACCAGTAACATATTACGCGTTTCTGCGAGAAAGGACAAAAATGCGGCGTTGGGCCGGGGACTACCGTGACTAAATTTAGTAGACATCGAACGAATATACGGAATATCTGCACTTGCTCATACGTGCGATGTAGGTACATACAATCCTATACATGGACTCGCATTTTCAGATAGTCGAGTGAAGAAAACTGCAGATTGACTCGCGCTCTTTATAAAACCCTCTTTTTGTTCTCTTCCTCTAAATTGAACACTGTCCAATTAAAGCTAAGAAATAAGATACATAGGTAACTGCCAACAGATTTGCTTCTCAATACGTCCCTCTTCACTCGGTTTTACAAACAAAATTTGCATTTGTTTCATCGCTGAAATAAATTGTTCATTGACGAATGCGTAAAGAATGTCGTTAATTGTCTAACAAGAAGATAATTTAATCGTAAAAATCGTACGTTATTATATTCAGTGGCCGGAGAGGCGTTTTGCGATGGCGAGGGGCAAAAAGTACTAGAGAGAAGAGCTTCCTTCATCGTCGTGCGGCTGCGTGAGTGGAGTAACGATGATTACTGTCGCGCGCTAGCAGCACTTACTCTCCGACGGCATTCGCAATTATCGGGGAGCTTCCATTAGTTAACTGCAGTCGATACGCAGTGCACCGGGTCCTCGCATCAAAACATCATTACTGCCCGAACGCGGGAGCGCGAGAGCCGCCGTGCTCGCAGTACTATTGGTAATCAATTTCGCTCCCGTGGCGTACTACTGGCGAGAGCCGCGCTAATGCGAGGCCTCAGCGTTCGCGTCGCATTACGGGAAATCGAAAAGGCAGCCTCGTAATGATTACGCGTTAGGAAACGGATCGAGCGACGTGGGGAGTAGGTGGCTGAGTTGCCAGAGGACTGTTTTAATTAAAACTCGCGCGAGCTGAAATAATTTTCATCGTCGAGCGGAGAAAAAAAAAGGTATCGGGATAGACAAGACGCTTAAGAGAGAATGGGCGCCGCGTCATTATTAGCATTGTCAAAAATTTATTATTATTAAGCTTGTGGTATACGTTGCTTTACGTAACGAGGATCTCAATCAATATAGAGTGGAGTAATAACGGTGCAATTATTTTTATTGAATCGGACTGCCGCATGCGACCTGCAGTTCGATTATTTATGTAATTATCCCTTCCTGCGCCGGGAACGTTAACAGTTAATGAGGATCTGACCTCGCAATCCAATCGGCAATCGATTTTTGCCTGTGTGTAAAATTACCACGGACTAGTCTCGCTAATGCAAGTCGCCGTTGCATCAGAGAGAACAGCCGTCATAAGCGTTGCATTCCAGAAAACGAATGCCTATTAGGAGTCGATCGTTTAGATAAAGCATCAAGAGGAACATGCACCGCTTCGTATCTCGCATTTAAAATCTACAACCATCGCGCAAATAATATAATGACTACTCAACAAGCCTTACGACGGACTAGTTGGTGCAACTTAGTAACTTGAATCAGACAATTTCTTAAAAATATTCCCTCTCGCTCTCAACGATAGAGTTATAAAATAAAAGGGCACGGTGCACAATGTGCGCGTACTTTCTCTCTGATCTCCTTCGTGCGCTCACTTTTTTCAAAATAATTTTATTGCAGCAACACAAAAAAAGCTCGCCGCTCGTGCGATCGAGCGAACGGATATAAATCTGAGCGTTCATAAGACTGGCGTCGGCCGCCGTGTCGGTGCATTTACGATCGATAAAATCATTTTATCCGAATATAATGCACCGGTCGATTCACGCGCCGCTCCCGGCGAGTTCCTCTTTTTTTTCGCTCGCCGTTTTGTTCTCTCTCTCTCTCTCTTTCCCGATCGCGATCGCGATTTTATTGTAATGCACTCGGCCCGATCGCGTCTCGCCCGCGCCGGATCTCCTCGAAAGCGCGCGACACCCGCGAACGAATTGCGCCCTACGCAATACATAATTCCCGTTCGACAAATTCAATGAGCATTATGGACCGTCAATATCCTTCTACCGTGTAATCGAGTTTCCTGGAGGCGTCGCAAGCAAAATCGCGACGCGCTCCCCGACAATTCCAGAACCCGAGGGTTCGCTGGCCGTCCAGATTGAAAATTTGCATTTACGATCGTCGTACAATCGAACGAGTATTCAAGATTCGTGCGAATGTTCGTTTTTTTCACAGTCTCCTCTTATCTCAAAACTATGACCAAATTATGTCTATTGGCTCGAGAGCTTCATTAAGGCCTGTGTCCACGATGCTAGAACTTGGACACGGTTCTCGGATCGTGGACACAAGGCTATATAGAATCTTAAGGCCTGCGTGTCCACGATGCTAGAACTTGGTCCAAGTTATAGTCCCGTGAAATGTGTAGTCAATCAACTTGCAGCTACATCATA